ATTATTCATATATGAATGAGGTAATTTCTATTTTTGATAGTTTTCTTCTAAATATTTACATATTCTATAATATTTAACCTTCAACGATTCAATAAAAACTAACATATAATTAGCATTGACAACTGGCTTTTTGTTTTGTCCTCAATTACTTCTATCCAAATGGTTACTGTTTCTGTTTTTCGATCTTATTCAACACATGCTTTCTATGTGTCGAAATATATAACTTAAAAGACGTCATTAATCTATCTTTGTCTTCATCATTTTGTTATTAGTAGTGTTATTATTATTATGTATTCTCTAATCAATCTTTCTATATTAGAATATATTCTTTGTTGTCTACTTTAATTTTCTTTGAAATATTATTTACTGAAGCATATAATGATTACTAACTTACAGTATACGATGGCCTGCTATCGAATAAAAAAAAACATTAGTATTAGTAGGAGCAACTCGAAAATCTCATCAGTAATTGCGTGTATCGATCGATCGGTCGATTCGATTCTCATGAGAATCTATAGGACAAAGTGACGAAAAAAAAAGCAAGAAAAAAGAAATATTATTAAAAAATTAAAGGATGAGCTGACAGGAAATGTTATTGGTAGGTGGGGCATTATACATAATGTTACTTAGTTAGAATATTCAAGGAAATAAACCTGTTTCAATGCGCAAAACACAGCATTCTTTTTGTCTTTTAATATATATATATGTATATATATTATTGAAAGAAAATGGCATTCTTATCATTATTATTGATGGATATAACTAAAAAATTCGATAAGATATTTACACATAGGAAAGAAATCATTTAACTAATTGTGTAAACCTGACTAAAACTAATAAATAGTTCGTGACAATCAGTCAAGGAAACAAATACTACTAAGTAAAATAGATAAAATAATTTATTTCATAGTTTGTTTTTTTTAAAAGTAAAGTTTGGCAATGTATCATATCTAGAGAGAACTAATTTATATTCAAATATTACTACCTGCTTCCTTCAACATATATTTTTTCCCATTATATTCTATTTTTTCATCATAAAATCTATTTATCTAAATGATCTAATTGTAAAAGATTATATAAGCTAATGTTCAATGATTGAAATCAGTATTTGTTTTTTGTTTCTACATACAGATATATTATATTAAAATGGTGATAATTACAACTGCTACATAATTTCTTTAATATGACTATAACTGATAGAAGAAGACAACTTCAATAAGACGCGATACCATCTGAATAAGAATAAACAACACGCGTATACACATTATACCATATTCTATCCATATGACATGTTAAAGCAAAAAATGTCTGGTGATAGTGGTGACAATCAATTTTTGTCATATGATGACAGTAGTGTCAACAAGACTGTACAGGTCAATGAAGTTACACTCTTAAATGCTATTATCCTCATCACTCACGCAAAACAGAATAGAGAAGAAAAAAGAAAAACTTTGATATTAATGTTATGACATGAGAATGTAAAAGAAGAAAAACAAAATGCTGAAAGCTAGGTTATTAGTTAAGTGTTGATGGAACTTCTTGATGTTCTAAACAATTACTATTCCATTACAAAACACAACGAACACAAGTCAACCAAGCAACAATGATTATGTTATTATACCAAGTAAAGATATCCGGTCTATGTTTATATATTTTTTTTTGTTTCTTCTATATAATTTTCCTATCTTCTACTTAGATATCTTATTTCTGTTATTCTATAGAATACATAGAAAAAAAAAACCTAATACGTATTTAGACAAACAAAAAACAACTTATAATATCAACAGTATTCAAATAAAAAGGGTAACTAATATGTGTTAACGTTGTTTCTATGTCATTTTTTATGATAAATCAACATACAAAATAGAATAAAAAGAAAAAAAATAAAAAGAAGAAAGAATCATGTGAGTACTTCAAAGAAATCTATTCACAATGAACATTCATTTATATTTTCATTTGACAACTTCTCAATAGTATTGAATAGCAATAATAAGAAGGCGTTATTTTTTACTTCCGTTTCGGAACTACTTCTTGTTTCTTGAAGAAAAAAAGAGAGGAAGATCGAGCATCATGCGTAGTTAATTACATTATCGCCCAGTGTTCAATTATCCTCTACTGTAGTAAATAGTAATTCTCTTGAGTTCGATCTTCTTCTTTTCTAATAATCTATTTTATATATTTTTCGGGTAAAAAAATAAAAAAAAAAAGATATGTTCATCCATGCACTGTTTATCATTTAAGAAAGCAAATCGATTAATAATTTACAGTTGGCAAAAAAAAAAAAAAGGAGAGAGAATAACCATAAATGGATGAAGAACAAGATCAAGATCGTGGTTATATTCGAAATTATTTTAGTATGTAAGAATGAAGATCGTGTTTACTCACATAAGAATTTTCTTCATAATTGCTCTTAACAACTTTGCTTTGTTTTTTTTGAGAATTCTTTCTAATCTCTGTTTAGCAATAGAAAATAAAAAGAGCATGATGCACTAACCTTTTATCATTTCCGACTACATTCATGATGATAATCAGAATATTGATGAGCATATTCAACAGGCGTAAACACTTTTTAATTGTAAATCATATTTGATGAAAATCAAAATAGAAATAGATATACTCAGTGATACTTCTTTTGTTTTTTATATATGACTCTATATAAAACAGAAGTTTTCTGATTTATGTACTATTCAATTTGATAGTTTCCGTTGCCGGAAAGAAGAAAAAGAATTGATAGGACTTCGATTGTATGCACGCGATGTATCAAAAAACAACCGGTTGATTGTTCAAGAAAAATTATAGATTGAAGATGTCATAATGACAAAGCATAACATTTGACATAGATAAATATATTTCTATAGAATAAAAAAGAAAAATAAGAAGATAAGATAATCAAAACTAGATAATACTCGAAACATAAATCCTCATAAAATGGAATTGTTAATATTTATAAGCTAACCACATTCATTGAAAGAAAAAATCTATTACTTATCGTTTATTATTGCTATTGTTGATGAAGACAAAAATATGATTATTCTATCTGATGTTCTTTGTGATCAGTAGAAATATTATGTACTACAAAATAAAAATAAAAAACCTATCTGGTCGAATGTACGATATGCATTTTATATATAGAGTAGCTATGTTCAATCATCTATATTAAAACACGCACAAATATAATAATGATCGATGGCGAATCATTGTCATTAATGAACCATCAAGTTGTCTATCGGGAAAGTTTGTGTTTCATATTCCTCTCAGTTGCTTGTTATTCTTTTTTTGTCAGAACAAAATATCTATGAGCCGGGACATCTCGTTCATTGAATATTATATATATTTTTTTTTGGAATAATTTTTCGCTATAAAATAATGAGTTCCCGTGAGAGTGTCCAAAAAAGAAAAGGGAAGGAAATTTTCTATTTTTGTTAATAAATGGTCGATAATAATGATGATAAAAAAAAAACATGTACAGATGATTGATCTTTTTTTTGTTTATTTTTGATCAATAGAAAAATCAATAATTTTTGAAATCTATTAAAAAAACATTCAAATAGGTTATAGATAAAAAAACAAACTATAATCTATCATACATTATCGATCGAGAGATTAACATTGAAAAATGTTTTTTCCGAATACATCTAGGAATATTTCCCATATGGATTATAATGCCGCTTTCAAATAAATTAAATGGCTAGAGAATTTCAATAAATTCAATCTCAACTATATATAATTTCAATTATTAAATTTGAATATAAATGTTTTTTTTTATCTATAAAAAGTTTTTTTCAACAAAAATGTTTTTTTCTTTCGCTTATTTAACCTTTGATGATAATGTCACAAAGCATTATAAATGACATGGAAAAAGACTAGATATGTAGAAGTACTAGCTTCGAGCATTTTTTTCTTTTGCAACATTCTATGTCTCTATTTTAACATGCTTTCTACTTCTATTAACAATCTGAATTTGTCTATTATGAATAGCAGTTTAAAGAAAGGAAACAATTTTCTGCTTAGATGTTGCCCTTCATCGACCTATTATTTATTCAAAGCTGTAGTTTATCACATACCGCCAACATATTACAAGAAACTTATGACAAACCACTAGACATAATGTACAATAATTTATAGTCTAAAGATAGATAGAATGTCGAAATAAAGATCTATAAAGGTAATTAATATATCAAAACAAAATATCTATTTGTCTAAGTTAAGTTTATTCAATCTACATTCAAGATTAAAACTTTGGAATTCTAAAAAATCAATTCCAAACAACTGAAACTATTATATTACACATCCAATCAAGTAAAATTCGATTAGAAACTTAGTATTGTTTTTTTTTTCTTCTCATTATGCCTATAAAAATTGACGGATCAACTTGAAGTTTGTATCAACTACTAAGAAAATATGACAAATAATGATTTTTATCAAGTTTATATTAAAAAATCTTTTGAATATATTTTTAGAAACATAACAAGAGAATTTTTTCACATTCTTATCTAAAGATATGCAAACAATAATTGTTTTTTTATAGTAAATAAAATTGGCGAACTGTTTACATCATCATTTATGTCAATAGTTGAATATATGTTTGATTTTTTTTCTGAACTCTTCGGACTTATGAAGAGAAGGTATAGCAATATAAGCATTTTATGAATTTATAAATGTCATCGATAGCTTTGGTATTCAAATGATGATTATTGAGCAATGAATGAATGATAAAATTAAATAAATTGATTTGAAACAATAAATGTTTATATTTGAACATAATAAAAAAAATGTCGTCTAACAATCGAATCACTTTGTTAAATACAAATATAAAATTTCAAAAACAAAAAGAAAAAACAAATTCTTTATTAATATAATTCAGTCCCTTTACACTTTCTTTGCTTGTCTATATAACTTTATCCAAAACGATATATTGTTATCTATTTTTTAATACGGTTCAATTAATAAGATAAATAATAATTTAATTATTATTTATCATTTATTAATTACATTTTTTTTTACATCCATAATAAAAATCGATTTGTTTGTTCTTTAAATTCAGTATCAAATATTTTATCGATTGTTAAATGAGTATTATCAATTAACCATTTTCGAGCATTTAATTTTAATTCATTACATAATGATTGTCCTTCGACAACAAGTGATATTAATTGTGGTTTTTCTTTAAATGCATTAATTATTGAAAGTGTAATCGTTTCTATTGATATTCCATTAGTGACATCAACTTGTAAATGACGGAGATGTGTAAATATTTTTACTAAATAAGGTATATATTGTTCAGTTAATTGTGTTGGTGCTGTTACAGTTGAACGAAGTATAAGTAAATGAATAATATGTTTTCCTAAAAGTTGACATGTATCTTTATCATCGAATATTGGAAGAAGATTATCAAATGCAATAAATAATTCAGATAGATTTGGTGCAATTTGAAGAAGTAATTTTAATGAATTGTATTCTCTTGATGAATGTAATAACCAAATACGTTTTAAATAATATAAATATGGAAGTGATATAAGTGGTTGTTGAACTACAAGTGATTGAAAAAAAAAAGTCATAAAAATAAATTTCAATTTATGTATTATTTATTTTGTAATTCTCGTTGTTTTGAAATATATCTATCGAAGAATAATGTATTTTGATATTTATATTTTAGTTAATTTTGATTTTTCAATATTAGTGTAGATAGATAAATTCATTTTAACACGATAAAATATGCTCAAAGCATTGTTTCTGATTTCGCACTTTTACTTACGGAGAAATCGTATTAGCATGTTTTCAAAAATATAAGAAATAGCAAACGGAATGTATACTTACAAAAAGAAAAATGTTTGCATAGATCTATTCTTTGGCTCATAATATGTTACATCTCAATTGGACTATTGTAATAAAAGAACTGACTTTTTATAGTCAATGACTTTTATATAATCCAACATTTACCCATATAATAATCTTTTCATACCTGATGGTGGTTCATCATTTTTTTCATATAATTGAATTGCAATTTCTTTTATTCGGTGACAACGAGCAATAATTGGAAATGTGTCAGCTAAAGTCATTCCATGATAATCATAAAACATGTCGACATTTTTATAATTTTCGAAAGTAGACATTTTCTTCGCCATAGGAGATGAAATATTAAATAAAGGAAATTTATATGGAATTGTATGTAAAACTGCTTGTTGTAAATTTTCATCAATTAAACAAATCATTGGAAAACGAGATGTTATTAAAGCATTTTGATCAATTTCTTCGATTGTATCATAGAAATAACGAAGTGAAAAATTAAATTCTCGAATTGTTTGTGGTAGAATATTAAAAATTTTTTGTTCACTATTAACAAAATAATTATCTTGTGAAGATAATTGTAATGATAAACATTCTACAGTAGGTATTTTCTCAAATAGTGATTTGAGTTCTTCTAATAACCAAAAATGATTATAACAACGAAGAAAAAAATACTTAAGAAAAATTAAAGGTGAAGGATTATCAAACTTTGCTTCCATCATACTAATTTCATCAACAGTTACATTTAATCGACGAATATTTGGAATAATTGATAGAAAATCCGGTAATTTTTCAAGTGTTTGTATTGATATAGTTAGATCGGAAACATTTAAACATGGACATGTTGGTAAATCTGAATAACTTGTTTTAAATTTTATTGAAGTAAAACGATTATTATTTGTTTCGACAACATGTTTAAATAAATTTGGTTGATCAGTAAGAAGATCAGAAATTTCAATTTGATCAAGATTACTAAGATTATTTAGTGTATCAAGAAATATATTTAATTCATCAGCAGTAAAACAAATAAGTATTAATTTTTGAAGATGAGGAAATATTTTAGACATTTGATGTGAAAAATATTGTGAAAATATTTTACCCTGTAATACAGATCGACAATTACTTATTAATAATGAACGTATTTGAGAACCTATTTCTGGTAATATTGAACGACAAAGATAATGAGATTGATAACATGTAACATCAGCTAACGATATATGACGACAATAACCTATTATGCATGTATTAAGACGTTTATTTAATCCATAAAATGAATAGAGTACATGGAGATTCAATAAATATTTATATATTTCTAGTAGAATCTCATCGGGAAGAACAAGAAAATTAGAAACATATGTAGCCATCTAGAAAAAACAAAATGAATAATTGAAATACAAATCTAATCGGTCGTAGATCACCTTCGAATAGAAAAAAAATCAAATAATTCTATGCATTTGCCTCCAAAATATAGAAAGATTGATCAGTTAATCTTACGGAAATGATAGATCGAATTTTATATATTCCTTATAAGTATCACAATATAGTTTTTGCATATGTCTTAAGAGCATATATAAGAGGAAAATGTCAGATATTGGAAAAAGAGAACAAGAAAAGACGATAGTTTTCAGACATTTTCTTGATATTATTCTATTTACTACAATAGAAATGATTTTATCAGGTTTCATTAAATAAAAAAAAACGACTTCTTTTCCTATAGGACTATTTGTATTGATTACTATCGGTAGAAAAATGTAAAAAGTAGTATATGGTTTTTTTAGAAATTAATTACAATATTAAAAAATCGCTGAATAAGTTTTTGAGGATAAATGTATATTCAAACATATTGAGAAAATGCTTATCAAAATTTAGTGTACTAAACTCATTTACGGAACCTATGTGTTCTAAAAAATGGAAAATTACTTCACAATTAATCATAGAAATTTTTCATGAAAATATTCAAGTTCATTTCTCAAACATATAAAACTATATTAGAATATATAAATATATTTAGAATCTTATATTTGTAGGGTTTGAACATACATAATCTGCTCACTTTTCATCGACCGTAACATAGGTATATATGTATCTATAAAAAGTCGACATTAAAATGATGAAATATTTTGTTTTAGCCGTCCACACAAGCTATCATTTTAAAAAATTAAATGAAAAATTTTCCTTATCAGAGGTCGTAATACATACAAAGAAAAAATCACAACTATGCACCACTAAAAGTATAAAATAAAAAAGCATATGATACATAAGAATACTTAAAAAGATGTACTATCTCAAAAATAAAACTATTTTAAAAAGAAACAACTAATCCGAAACGGTATTTGATATTACGTCGATGTAATATAAAACTAAAAATGAATGATATGTCTTTATTTATCATAATTAAACATGATGATATTATGAATTTTGTATATTTCATTTCTTTCGAGTAAATTCAATCTATATTTTCCTTATAGATAAATTTAAAAAGAAAACTTATTAAATATTGTACAAAATATTTTCGAAAAAAATAACAACTTATATAGTTCATTAATTATTATGAATACTTCAGGTTTTGAGTAGCAAGCAAGCAGGAAAAAATCGCTATGACTAAACTATCCCTATTGCTTAAAAAAAATGAATCAATCATTGAAATATATCTTAATTTGTGTCTATATTTGTGAATTATTTTATTTCAATATGAAAAATATATCTTGATTATTATAAAGATATCTGTTTTTGAAGTAAAATAAAGTAAATTTGTATAGATGGCGCAGATCATCGAGCAATAACGTCGGAGAGAATTATTCGTTTTATCTTTGATAGAAAGTATCAATTAAAGCAGATAACTATAACATTTTTATAAATTCCTACAATATCTTTTTTTGTAGAGCCAAAGTCAAAATAAAAATAATTTAGCATGAAGAATTTCTATGCTAATCTTTATATGAGACGGAATCATTCAGGTAAAGGATGTCTCATTATAATTGAGAATACATTGTCAATGACCTTTTTGCATGCTGTTTTCTTGACATAGAAAGATGAAATTTTTATTCCATATATCCCCCTGGAAAAAAATACTTGCAGTCTGTATTTCTAATATATTGTCATCATAATAAAATAGTTTTTAAAAAATAATGAGATATTCTGAAAGCCCGTGGAGTTTTCTACAACTCTTTGTATTTATATTGCGGTTTTCAGTTACGTATCATTGAAAAAAATTGAGTACAATGAAAGCACCCTCAACCTGAGATCCCCCGACACGAATTTTTTTTAGTATACTCAAAATTAGCTTTTTAATTTTTTCATCATCATAGAACTATATTTTAAAAAAGGCAATTACATATTCTGATAGAGCTTGAAACTCTCTATCATCCTGTATGTTTACCCATTTCCTTGCATTCATTTATTGAGAAATAATTTGAGTATAATGAAAAAATCCTCAATCGACAAGTACAAAAAAGCAGCATTTTTCGTTGCTTTTGTGGTTTCCTTTTTGAATTTATTATTCCTGTGCAAAAGCTTTTTAAAAAAAGCAACTATAGGTTTTGGTAGAGCGTGAAATTCTCTATCACCCTGTATACTTGTTACCTTTCTTGCATTTATGTGCTGGAAAATAATTCGAGCATTACATAGACACGCTTCTTCACAAGCTCTAAAAACAAGTAGCTGTCTTTAATCTCTCTTTCGTTTTCGGTTTCAAAAGTTCACGACAATAGAGAATTTCAAGCTCTATCAGAATATATAATTACTTGTTCAAAAAGTTATCCTTATATTAATAATAAAGTTGAAATAATGAGGGAAGTATTACTAAAAAATTCAGTTTTTCTAAATTTCTTGAGCATGTTAGGGGCATAACACTCGAATTGTTCTTCAGCAGATTCAGGACATAAATGAAAGCCAAGCCAAAGAGATATAAGTTGATAGAGAATTTCACGCTCTATCGGAATCTATAATTCCGTTTCTAAAAACTCATTTTCATAGTAACTATATTTTGAGAAAAAGGCGAAAAGTAACGATTTTTGGTATTTGTCGATTGAGGATTTTTTCATTATACTCAAATTATTTCTCAATAAATGAATGCAAGGAAATGGATAAACATACAGGATGATAGAGAATTTCAAGCTCTATCAGAATATGTAATTGCCTTTTTTAAAATATAGTTCTATGATGATGAAAAAATTAAAAAACTAATTTTGAGTACACTAAAAAAAATTCGTGTCGGGGAATCTCAGGTTGAGAGTGCTTTCATTGTACTCAATTTTTTTCAATGATACGTAACTGAAAACCGCAATATAAATACATAGGGTTGTAGAAAACTCCACGGGCTTTCAGAATATCTCATTATTTTTTAAAAACTATTTTATTATGATGACAATATATTAGAAATACAGACTGCAAGTATTTTTTTCCAGGGGGATATATCGAATCAAGATTTTTAATTTTTGTAAAACTTGAACTCTCTAGCTTAAACTACTGCCGAAATACATAAATTTTCGTATTGAATTTTGTAATATGTATATATCTTGCATAGAGATATTTATCAACACCTGATGAAAAGAAATTTTACAAAATCATGGTTTTATAAAGATGTAAATTGGAATAAAAATCAACGTGTACAAACATGCTATCGATTATTTTCTGTGTTTGGCTGTAATTGATATGATATGTCGTCCATTATTTTTACACATTTTTCTTTTGAAGATTTCCTTCAGTTTTTTTTTGCAATTGATTTTTCTCATTCTCACGATGTATCAAACACTTGGTCACGAGCGCTTGCTTCCAGTACATGTCACGCATTTTCAATTCTCGTCATACATTATTCAATAGAGCATCACTATTCGAGAGTTGCGGCTCACCATTTTTTTTTGAACTCGAGTTTTTTTTTTCTACCAATATCTTGAACATTCTACGTACATAAATAAGGAAAAGATCAAAATTTTTACTATTTATTGGCTACTCTCAGAAAAAAAGTCAATGTAAAGTTATTTATTGGTGTTCACTTTCTCATCACTCGATATTTAATAAATTAAAAATTTTCACTTAGTTGAAAAAAGCATTATGTTAACAAAAAAAGAAAATTGAACAGCTAATTGATAAACAAAATTTATCAAATTAATAGTAACACCAAAGTATTTAGCTGTATGGAAACGAGATCAAGCAAGAATATTTTCTATGAAATCAATATGAAGATTTATTTATAAATCATCTTTTGGTATTAATTTATTATCTAAGTAAATGCATGCTTATCAAAATACGAAAAAAACAACGAGTTTTCAATGATCAAACAAGTATCAATCAGTTTTATACATGTTTAAAAAATGAACCAGTTACTCCCGATTGAGTTAAGTAGAAAATTAAAATTGTTTGTGTTGAATTTGAAGCACTTGACTGTTGACCATTTAAAACTCTTGCACAAAATATTTTAATGTTGGTCAATACTTACCTATAGGAAGCTGTGCGTTCATGATTTTGTGCTTCAGAACCGAACCCAAGAAAAGCTAAACTTCTGGAAGGATCTGCAGTTTCATAATCGGAATCTACTAATTCTATGTACTTATAAAATAATTATGCTATGAACCATGAAACACCAATACTTCATTTTCTTTCAAAATATTTTAAATTCAATACAAAATATAAAAGTGTTCAGGATAAAAAAACTGAGTCAACCTATGCATGTTTCAAATTCATATGTCAACTTTTATTTTCGTCGAAAAATTTGACCCCAGTTTTCCCCTCAGAAGTATATCAAAAAATAGATTCGTCCAAAACATCATGTCGACTATAACAAACAAGTTCTGAACATTCAATGTCATCTTTAAGCTTATAAGAAAATATACCTAAATAATAAAAAAACCAGATTTTGGATGAACTTTGTTTTTGACATTATACATAGATCGACTCAATTTTTTATGCTGAACATGATTCCGGTATTAGATTTTATTATATTTTGAGCACTATTACATAACAGATATTCAAAATACTATTGGTTTTTAGCTAAAATCAACGCTTTGATAGTAGTCTGTGCCTCGTTGAGATGTTTCTTCCCATCGATATTGGTAGTTTCATTGCTATACAACAAGAAGAATTAAAGAAAAAAGACTTGATATTTATAGTAGTGTTTAAGGACTATATGACCTACAAGTTGCAGTAAAAAAAATTTGTTTCTCTCATTCATTTTATATGAAATAGAAGTACCATAACAGATTGATCACAGAAGTAATTTAAGCCCAAAAACACGATATACTGACCTTATTCAAACTTTTTTTATTTGTCCATTGAAAAATAATAAGTTTCATCATAAAAAATGCTTATCCAAACATGATCTTTCATTTGATATAACATAGTAAGAATTCCCATAGAAAAAAAAAAA